CAGATGCAGGCTCCAGGGGACCTGCTGTGGCCACTGGAATTCCAGCAGGTGCAGCAGCCCCAGCAAGAGCCCTCCTGGTTGGGCTCAGCTCCTGAACTGTGTCACGTATGAAAAGAATGAGTCCTGGTGGCCTTGTCCTGCTCCAGTAACACGGGTCCCAGAACAAACTCCTGGAGCAGCCCGAGCCGGGTGGCAAGAGGAGAGGAAGCCGAGCGACCTCTCTGTCGGGCAYCCTCAGGAGACATGGCACCGGGCCGCTGCAGCCCTGAGTGGCACAGCAAGATCCCCAGGGAGTGAGAGTGCCCAAGGCTCCTCCAGGGGGCATCCACCGCGTCCACACCCAGGTGCTTCAGGGGCAAATCACCAAAACCAAGTCAGGGCTGTAAAGCAAACTCCAAAAGCAGGAGGCGACGTGCGCATCCATTTCTAAGACCAGCTGAACGGGAAGGGTGGGTGCAGACGGGCGTGTTCATGCGGTGGCTCAGTCCACATAGATTGAGGTTCACGCATCACCTTGTATTTTAATTTTGTGGGAATGATGGGCACCCATTTTAAGGCAGAGATGATTTCTAGGAGGGAGTGGGGACTGAGGACCGTGTTGGACTTCACCTGAATCTATTCTAGTGTTTCCTTCTAGAGACAGGAAGAGATCCCACACAGGTGGGCAGGGTTCGAGGAGCTGACACAGTGAGAACCAGGAGCCACACCAGAGGGCCACCCGCTCCAGGCCCCAGCACACAGGGGCCTCTGTGTGGATGGAGCTCRGCCYGGCCCAGGTTCAGCCAGTGGCTGCGAGCGTGGCCCAGGCTCCAGGGTGACCCCAGAACCACCAGGCCTGCTTTTCTGTGGCCCTGGAACATCCGTGTCTCCTGGAACTCATTAAAAATGCGGCTCTCAGGCCCCATCCAGACCCCGGAGTCAGGACCTGCATCACCGAGACCCCTCGTGAGAGCGGCCGCCCTCTCCTCAGACCAGGCTTTCAGCCAGGGACAGACGCAGGTCCCGAGGGGAGAAGGGTCCCACTTCTCTACGCACACAGAGCCCCCTGGCAGATGTGCCACGTGCCATCCGGTGGGGCAACGGAGAAGATGACATCTAAAACCGGTCRGGGACAATAGTGAAAAGGAGCAGGGACGCGGAGGCCGTGAGGGCCAGCCCAGGGCTGCTCTTCCGCTCTGTCTCAGGGGGACAGTTCATCCCTAGGACTAGTCCCACCTTAAAACCCAGAGTCCAGAGTCCCAGGAAGCCCTCCAGTCTGCAGGCCCCTCATTTATCACCGTGACCCCCTGGCCTGGCCAGGGGGCCCTGAAGTGACACTCGCTGTGTCATGGAGTGCACACAATGTCATGGGGACTCTGAGCACTCGGGGTCTCCCCACTCCACAGCAGCCCCCGCTCCACCCGCTGCTTCCTTCCCCTGGGGCAGGGTGGCGGGAGGGCTGGGATGGGCAGGAGCCGGCAGCCAGGAGCCAGCCAGGAAGAGCCAGCAGGACAGGGGTGTGGTGAGAGRAGGGAGGACAGGGCAGCGGGCGGGGCTGGAAGGTCCCTGTGAGCCAGCTGCAGCTGCAGAGGTGGAAAGGGAGGGTGGCCACTTAGGGAATTCTATCAGAAGGCATCGCCAGAGCTCAGTGATAGACCATGCGGTGGACTGAATGGCAGCCTCAGAAGAGATGTCCCCCTGAACCATGATTTTCATGGGAAAAGGGGTCTTTGCAGATGTGACTGAGGTAAGGTTCTCAAGATGACCTCATCCTGGACCACCCAGCTGGACCATCCCAGTTTCCTTAGAAGAAGCTCAGAGGAGAGATACTCAGGGACAGCCACGTGAAGACCCAGGCAGGGATTGAGTGGTGGCCACAGGGTCCTCCAACAGCCACCAGGAGCTGGGTCCTGCCTCCCTCCAGCCTTCAGAGGAAGTGCTGCCCTGAGACACCTTAACTTGGACTCTGACCCCCAGGACGGACGGAGGACACATTTCTGCTGTTTTAGCCCCACCCCAGCCCCACCCCCAGCTGTGGTCAATTATTACACTGGCCACTGCTCCCGGACAGCTGGGAGGCAAAGTCAGGATGGACTCAAACGCAGTCCTGGCTGGAGGGAGAAGAGCTTGGCCATTAGCCCCAGGAGGAGGGCRGCCAGGTGGCCTCGACCCTGGGGAGCCCATTCCTCCCCCCAGCCTTGTTCCCAGGGCCTGGAGGTGGAGCAGAGAACCCCACCACCAGGAGACAGTGCAGATCACGGATCATCAGGGCGGGAGGGAGAGCAGACTGGCACGGGCCCATCAGATGCAGGACAATTAAAAATGTCTTTGGCATAGATTTCAGAGAGCCATTTCTAGAATGTAAATACCATACCTGTCATTAAAAATGTATTTATTGGAATTACCCAGGAGGATTYTTGGGAGGCTGGGTGTGCATTCGGTAAGTAGGTCTTTAATAACCCCATTTAATATGCGCTCCCCAGACACAGCCCGCAAACCGCATCCTCCTGGGCCTCAGAGGCCRACCGAGGCAGGCGGCTCCCAGGGAAGGTCCAAGGGGCTCCCCACCGAGTCCCACCGTGGACAGATGGCAGGATGRGAGCAGATGATTCCCAGGGGGGAAAATGGGGCCAGCACTCAGGCAGGGGAAGCAGCTTGCCCCACTAGGAGGCAAGGGGAGCAGATTGGAATAACACAGTCCTGCGGTCCTAGGAAGCTGGGAGCCGCTGCTGCCCAGGAGTGGGGGCCTGCCTGGTGGCCACGTGCGTCCCCTTGAAGAACCCACCACTCTGCGCCCCCGCTGAGTCTGCCCTCACGACTCAGGAACGTCACTGTGACAGGTCCATCCCAGGGAACCGGAGGGAAAGGAGAACTGTGTGCCTAAGGTTTTCACRGCAGCCTTGACTCAGGGAAGGCAAAGCTGGGGGACCCGCTCGCGGGGCCAGYGTGCAGCTGAGAGGGTGACAGCCACGGGACAGCGTGGAAAACTGGAGATGGAAGTGAACACAGCCCTTCAGTGCGGGCCTACATCTGCGTGAGAGCATCAGCATAACCAAGGACATAAACAAAGAGAGTGATTGCAGCCCTCGGGACGCAGTCTGGGGATGCAGGCTTCCCCGAGACGACTCAMACCCGGCATGCATGTTTAATAGAGGCGCGGAGCCGGCTGGGCCTCCAGACCGTGAGGAGAGGAAGAGCAAAGTCAGACTCTGTTGATTTGCTCTGGGGAAAGGCTAAATGGAGACCGTGCTGCTCTGGAGACGGAAGCGGGCACCTCCTTCTGTCTCACAGCCCCTCCAGGGCCCCCCACCCCATCCTACAGGACAGCACCTCCCACCCCCTTGGGGCAGCTCTGAGTGGGGCTTCAGAGCGGGGCTCCCCCACCTGCTCCTGAAGAACCCTGCCTGGGCCCCGGGCCCCAGGGCCAGCCWGGCTCAGTCCCCACACCCCACCAGACCTGCAGCCAGACGGTCCGCACAGTGCAGATGGCAGCAGGAAGGACCAGCCGCTCACCACCCCAGCACCATTAGAGGTACGCAGTGGGGGGCCCAGGAACCCACACTCTGGAAATCTCTAGGGAGCTGTCCCAGGGGAGGGGTGACCAGGGCCCTTCAGGTCTTGACTGACAGGCATTTGAGGGAGCTGAGCCGTCCTGCTTGGAGGAGGARGAGACTGAACTGTGTCCGTCCATCTCATCCACCATGGAGCCAGGGGATCCCCCCATCCGCGCACCATCTGCCCAGCAGCCAGGCCACACCCCACAGGGGTCTGCCAGCCCCCGGGAGCCATGGCTCCTGAGCCGACCCTCTGCGAAAACCCAAAGGGAAGCCAAGGGACTCCCCTGGGACTCCACGCCTGAGCGGTTTCTGCTCTCATCCGGAAACAGTGGACGGCCAGCGAGGAGGCTGCGAGAGCAAGCTCCCCATCAGGGGGGCTGCGGGGGCGTCAGGAAACACGTCCTCCTGGAGGAATGTGGCCCGTGCCTGACCCCGTTTTCTGGCAGTGGTGGTGGAATTGGAGGAACAGGCCCAGGAGCCGGGGCGAGTTCGCAGCTGGGAGCCGGCTGGGAAACGCACTGGGGAGCCAGGGGAGCGGCTGCCTTAGCCCACGGGGGCCAGGCCAGCTGGCTCAAGGGGACACAGCCCAGGTCCCAAGTCCAGGCGCCACAGTCGTGACTTCCCAAAGCGACACAGAGATCCCACCACGAGGACCCGCGGAGTGGGGCCCCAAGTCCTCCTGCCAAAAGCAAACCAAAGGCAGAACGACTCAGCCCCTGGCTGCCTCCCACAGACCCCAGCCCTGACCAGCAGAGCGGGCCAAGGAGAAAAATGAACCAACACGGAATTGATCACCACGGTGGGAGCCACAGGGCTCCACGCCCAAGAACGGCTGGAAAAGTCYGCACCCACGGCCCAGGAGGGCCGGCACCCTGCAAGGGACGTAAGCAGGGCGGATGGGGGCGAGCTGAGCAGTCTCCCCAAAGCTCCTCCTCACTCCCCTCTCTGCAGACACCAAAGAGTGGCCAGTGTCCTCCGGCCACATTCACAGGTCACACATAAAGAGATGTCCCACTTGGAGGGTGGATCCTTTATTTACCAAGCTCTCGGGCTCAGCCCAGAAGAAAGGGAAACACCTCAACCGTGAGGAAGGGCTCSCTGTGGAGCCTGCAGGAGCCACGTGGGACGGCCAGCGGCCAGTGGCACAGGGAAAATGCCCACTGACCTGAATTCACAACACACCCTGCTCCTCGGGGAGGAAACAAAGGGGAGGATAACGGAGAGGGGAGGGGAGGGGAGGAGAGGAGAGGGGAGGGGAGGGGAGGAGCAGCTCTGACCTGCACCAGCGTGCGCCCTCCGGCTAAACTGCCAATCCATTTCAGCCTCTCCTGAGTGCACTGTCCAGGCAGAGAGCCCAGGCCTCCACGGCAGGAAGGTGCTAAAGCCTCAGTCCTCAGTCGAGACCCCAGAGTCGCCACACAGGTACAACGCAGGACAGAAAGGCCCACCATCAGGCTGACTTACCGCCACAGAGAACTTTCCAGAACCTTCCCCATGTCTGCGTGGTAGTACTTCGTCAGGATCAAGATCACCTGTGGAGTTAACAGGAAAAGGTGGACATGAGCTGGTTGCAGTTCTCAAAGAGGGATATGGGGACCTCCCCCCTGGGCTCTAGGGTCTCAAATATAGCTGCTCTAGAGCCCTCGCGCCAGAGCACCCCGACGCGGGCTTGTTCCCATGACTTCTGCTGCTCAGAACTACTCTGGGGACGCTCCGATCCTGTGAGATCTTTACCCGTCACCACTTGGCAGGAATCATCCAGACCCAGCCTGGCACCATCTCAGACTGCCACCAAAAGAACAGCCGCGGTGGCAGTCCCCTGGGCGCACTGGGCACACTTGGCAAGGCTTCTGAAGACAGGGCCTCTCCACCAGCGCCACGGAGAATCCCCAAGCCAGCRGGAGCAGCTGCGAGCCCGCCGCCCCAGACAGGAGCAGGCCCCTGCGGCCCGTGCTGTCATTACTTTTTCCAGAGTGGTGGCTGCTGTCAGAGCTGATGACAGTGGGGGGGACGGTGGGCAAGACGGCTGAGACAGCCAGAGGGGGTCCATAAATCATCGACCGCGCACGTGCACGCACACACACACACACACACACACACACACACTAATTTTGTTGTTAAACTGTTCAACACGCTCTTGGGGCCCTCGTAACAAAGCTGTTTTCATTTCAGTCCAGTATAGAAAATGCAGCCGTTTAGAAAATGAAAATAAATGTGTTTAAGAACATTCAAAATGCTCTTAAAAACGGGTGCGTGAACCAACCAAAAASGAGAGAGAGGGAGGAAATGGGGATCCGTCAGCCCCTGTGGGAAAGGAGATTGATCCCCAATTACTCCAGCGGCCACCGTGTTCTCACGTCCATCCCATTTCATCTCTCTGCTGCCAGTCCGCGTTAGTGGTTCCTAACACTCCCGTTGCCATGGGAACCCCGGGAGGCTCAACGGGACACCCCCAGGTCCCCGGCGTGCCTGCTAGCCTGGTTACTTGGGGGTTGCCAGGCCGGCCGTGGCCAGCACCCTGGCTGCTCCCCGAGGCTGAGCTTTGGGGAGCTCGGCCTGCAGGGCGTTGCGGACGCGGCCAGGAGCCTGTGGACGGCTGTCTTTCTTTCCCTGGTGATTAGAGCAGGGAAGATAGGAGGAGGGATGTCAACCGAGACGGGACAGCGTGCGTCTGAGGCAGGATGATTAAAAGAAGAAGAAGAAAGGGAGGCCTTGTCGACAGCCGCTGTCCCTGTCTGGCTCGGGAACAAAGCCACCTCCTCTTGCCAGCTCACAGCCTGCCCGAGTCAGAGCCGGAGCCTCTGAAGACGAGGCGGCACTGAGTGACAGGGCCCGGACGGGCAGGAGACAAGCGTATTTTTAACCTATTGATTTATATTTTATATGGTCTCGCTGTCCCCAGAGGGGTTTTTGTGGAGCTGGAGCGTGACAGCTGGAAGGAACCTCAAAGTCTGTTTCATCCAGTCCCATCCAGGATGAAATCACCGCTCCAGCCTCATCCCCGTCACAGCCGGGCCCAGGGCTCTGGGCACGCCTCGCGGGTGGGAGCTGGCCCCGGGTCTGGCACTCAGGCTCCGCACGGGCTGCCTGGTTTGGAGGCTGCCTGGTTTGGAGACTGCCTGGTTTGGAGGCTGCCTGGTTTGGAGGCTGCCTGGTTTGGAGGCTGCCTGGTTTGGAGGCTGCCTGCTTGGAGGCTGGGCTCGATTCCGGGAGCTCCTGCCTGCGTGGGCTGGCCTTGCTGGGGACTCCCACTCCCGCCCACCCCCAGCCTCCACTCCAGCCGGCCCAGCCTTCACCCAGGCTCTTCCTCATCCGGGACCCTCTTCCCTGACGTCCACCCCTATTTCTTGGTTCACTGTAGACACATGGCCTTGGGAAGTGTCCCAGACGAACCCCTGGGACAGCACCCCCACATGGCCCCACTCCACTTCCCCACCCTGCATAGCTCTCAGGGTCTGTCCTCCCAGGGTGGAGACCTGGTCTTGTGCTGTGTCCCCAGGGCTGAAGCACGGGAGCCACTAGCAGAGACACCAAAGCAGCTTTTCCCCAAGAAAGGACGAGGGCGATGATCCAGGCAGAGGCAGGGCCCCGGGAAGGCCCCAGCTCCCGCCTCCATGCCCAGGGCACCCTTTTGCCATCAAGAGGACACGCTGTCCATGCCCCACACTGGGAGACAGGACTGCTCTCTGGGGCTGCCTCGAGGGGGGTGTGGCACGCTTGGTTACCCCTGGTGTCGGCGTGGTCCTGATGTGCCAGGGTCAGCACCCAGGTCCTCTCGCTCACCCCTTCCCACTGCCAGGGGGCCCTGGATGGCTCTTGTCCTGTTTTACAGTTGAAGAAACCAAAGCAGACAGAGCTGCAATGACCTGTCAAAACCACACCCCGCAGCGCAGAGCTGCCCGCCCAAGCTGCTGGACCTCAGGCAGGCGCCTGTYGGCCGGGCCCGGACCCCGTTTGCAGGAGGCACTTCTAGTGGGTTCAAAGCCTCCACATTGTGACCTGCTGGGCCTCCACTCCCTGCCTTGGACGCCAGCTCTCCCAGGACAGCCTCCTGCCTCGGGTGGGCCCAGAGCTCTGGGCGCGTTGAGCTGGGGGCAGGGAACCAGGAACGTGAGAGGAGTGGCCCGGGTGCCGCCCTCGGGGCTCCTCATGCCCAGACGCCCAGGCTCAACTAGGAGACAGAAGGGAACGAGGCCTCGCGGCCAAGGGGGGAGGACGGTGCACTCCTTACTGTCACCCTCACGTTTCGACTGATTTCCAGTCCTCCTGGCCCTGGGGGTGGCAATGCAAGGGTTTGTCCTCATGCAGGAAATCTGCCCATGGATTCTGGGTGACTCCTCATGCCAGCTCAGCATGCCATGGGCGTGAGTCCAGGTGACATGGACACAAGTGACCCCATGGTGAAGACTGCTACAGCATCACCACCGAGGAGCTCACTGGCAGGACTGTTGCCCCAGGGCCTCTGCATGTGAGCTGGACACTCCTCCCACGCTGCATTGCCTGCCTGCTGCTCTCTCTAAAGCCACCTCCTCCTGGAAGCCTTCCCTGACCACCAGGCTGGGCACTCCAGGAGGGAGGGCCTGCATGGTCTCCAGTACCACTGTCTCCAGAGCCGGTCCAGGCACTGGTCAGCCATAGGGTGAGGCAGCCAGATGGGTCACTGCTGAGTGAAGTAATCAGCTGCAAACTGGCTTAGAAAAGCCAAGACCGACCCTGGTGAGACCTTTCCCTCCCCGTCCCACCTGTCCTCTTGCCCAGGTGTGGAGTGTGATTCTAGAACTAGTGGGAAATCCCATCATCCCAGATGGGACCCCCCACAGCGCTGCAGGCAGCTCTGCAAGTTTTGCTTTTGTGGAGACAGAGCCTCACTGCATTGCCCAGGCTGGCCTGGGACTCCTGGGATCAAGGGATCCTCCTGCCTCAGCCTCCTGAGGGGCAGGGACTACTGGCTGCACCACCACACCCAGGGAAGCGGCTGCGTAACCACCTCACTGCACTGACGYGTGCACTGAGGATCAGAGAGGGGTGCTCCTGGGCTGGGATGGGAACAGGCAAAACTCATCCACCTTCGAGCACAGGAAGGGAAAGGGAGGCCAAGAAAGAAGGCAGGGCGGGAGAGGCGGCGGCCACGGGGCGGGGGTTCAACAGGCCAGCCGCGGTCTCAGCCAGCCAGGCGCCACGCCCACGGGCCAAAGGCACCAGCTTCCTGAGCCYGCAGGCACCTCCGTCCCCAGGACCATGACACGCCCTCTGCGAGTGTGCTCAAAGAGGCTCAGAAAGGCCTGGGCAAGGATGTGGGCATGTGTAGAAAAACACCACGCACCACAGCAAGGGACACCACGGGAAACCCTCGCGCACCGTCGGGATGCCTCCCACACTAAGCTGCACGTCACATGTGCACACTGGACACGCGCCTGCCTCCGTGGACTTCCGACCCAGCCACCGCACCTGCCATCCTATTCCCCAAACACCAGATCCACAGAGAGGCCAGCAGGAGAGGCCCTGAGGCCCCGGAAGCCCAGGCCTGTTCTGCTAGCCACTGCCCCTCACAGGACCTGGGCCAGCGCCCTGCTCCTCCAGCCGTGGTTCTCTCATGTACCCAGGGGCCAAGGAACTGCCTGCTCCACTGGCACCTCAGTGAAGAGGGCCACCCCTCAGAGAAGCCCACTCAAGGAATCCCTGCCACCCAGCCGAGGGACAGTGATCAGGGACTGCGGGAGGCCACCCTGACTCAGCRGGTGGAAACAGGTCGTCCCAGCATTCACGGCCCAGTGGGAGCGAGAGGTCTCCTTCCGGCAGTGTGAGCCCTGGAGCCACCAGCCCCTCCCTCCAGGACACAGGGAATTAGACACGGCCCGACTGAGCTCAATGAGGCCCACGGTTCGCCCCAGATGGGATGTGACCGCTCTTCTGCCACACAAACACCCCTGCCCCACCAGGCAGGGGGTGTCACCCCAGGGGGTGGCCTGGGAAGGGAGGGTCATGGGACACCCTCCCTCCCTCCCATGTGAGTCAGCGCTGCCATTCCAACTGCAGGGCCCAGCCTGGTGGCCTCAGTCAGCAGGGCCCCGTGTGGCTGCAGTTTGTCAGCCGACCGTGGGGGAAGGGCGCAGCCTGCCCCAAGTCTTAAAGGCACCTTGTGGGGGCACCACGGTCCCCGGCCTCTCTGAACCTCAGCATCCCCTTCTGTTGAGCAGATCCTGCAGGACCTGGCCAGATCCAAGATGCCTCATCAGCAAGGCCACACCCCAGAACAGCTGTTCTCCAAGTCACCCACAGCGTCACCCTGGGGACCACCCACCACTCTACCCTGATATGGATGAAGGCCTCTGAATAGTGCAGGGTGAGTGGGAGCCAGACAGACCACCAAGCAGCCTCTTCCAAGACCTCCACAAAGGACCCCCACAGGGGGACGGTGCCCAGGAACTAAGGACCTCTTGAGCCCCTTCACCTCCAGCCTCCCCCTCCATGGGGCCCACTCCTGCATGGCCCCACACAGGTGGCCTGGGGACACTAATGTCTAAACCTAACA